GCAGCACAGGGTCTTGTCTTCTGCACAGGCAGGGCAGGGGTCTGACGTGGCTGGCCTATTCTCCTGCCTGCCTGGGTGCCTCCCCTGTCCAATATTTCTTTTAAAAAGGAAACTCAGGTAGGTACCCATGGAACAATATTAAAGGAGTAATAACAGGAGTCATAGATAATTGAAGTTCCAGAAGCAGTGGAGAGAGAGATTTCAAGAAGAGGAAGAAAAAGAAATAATAATGGTCAAAAACTTCTCAAATTAGGAAAATATACATTTACTTATTTAAGAAGCACAGAGAACATCAAACAGGATAAGTGTGGAGCACACAGTGCCTAGGCACAGCATACTCAAACTTAGAAAATCTTGAAAGCAGAGAAAAATGACACATTATGTGTAGGAAACAACAATTTGAATGATCATGGCCTTAACAGAAATAATGGAAGCTAGAAAAGAGTGGAGCAACATCTTTAAAGAATGAAAAGGAAAAAATAAAAATTGTCAATTCAATTCTATATGTGATGAAAATATCTTTTGGGAATGAAGATAAAATTGGCATCTGAGGAAGTAGTTATATATTTAGTGTACTGATTAAGAATATGGGCACTGGCAACAGATTCTGGATTTGAATTTTGGCTTGGCTACCTCTTGTGATCATGGGTGAATTATGTAAATTCTCTAAGCCTCAATTTCCTTATGTATTTTATTAATAGATACTTTATTGAGATTTAAATTAGTGAGTAATGCCCAGGAGTAATGAAAGGATGCTTCTTAAGCACATAGTACCTGCTTGGCATATGGTAACTTGTTGGAAAATATTCATTATCATTTATTTATATATATTTTTAGCTTTTTGTAGCAAATGTAGCCAACCTTTATAGAACATCATATTTTCTATTTTCATCTTTCATATTTTCCCAGCTTTAGAAAGGTTGGCTATATCTTAAAAAGGAAGAAATCACTGAGGGTATTGTAAAAAATAGATCACTTTTGCTGCTACAGTGACTTCTACAAAGAAGATTTAAGAAGCTCTCATTTTTATTTTTTTATTTTTATTTTTTTTTTGTCTTTTTGTCTTTTTCCGTGTCCGGCAACGGATCGCAACCCTCAGTGTTGCCCCCGTACCGGACTGGGGACCGGCAATGGGATTGCAACCCTCGGTGCTGCTCCCGCGCCTCGCTCAGCCAGTGAGCGGGAACCGGTCTGTATGTGGGATCCGAACCCTTGGGCGGGAGTGCCGCCGCGCTTCCCAAGCGGTGCACCATCCAGTGCGCCACCGGGCCGGCCCAAGAAGCTCTCATTTTTAGAAAAGGCCATGAGAGGAGAAAATAAATTCTCTCAAAAAAACGTACAAACAAACGAAATAACTCAGTACATCATTAAGATTTTAACCATGTGAAATTTTATCCAGTCATCCTTTTGTTACGTACTATGACCTTTTGTATACCCTCCTCATTTCTTTGCTTTTTAAAAAATTTTTCTCAAGGTATTTTGAAAACTAATAATTTGGCCTAGTTGGAGGCAAATTTCTTATTTAATGTGAGTATTTTAAAACCTAAGGCAATTTCTTTCATCTGAAGTAAGATGAGAAGTTGTTTAGCTTTCATATATGTTCTTACATATTTAATGTTGAAACAATGAAAAACTACAAGTATTTTAAAATTATTAACTTCAGAAAAGCAGTTTTTCTCCTGATCTTTTAATGTGATTATGTAATTAATAGAATGAGAAAATGATATAAACTGAGTTTTGTTGGGTCATTCAACAAATATTTATTGAGCACCTACTTGTGTCAAGCACCGCTTGAGGCATTTTGATATATCAATGAAAACAAAAACAGTTCCTTGCTCTCATGGAGCTTACATTTTCACAGGGAAGGTAGACAATAAACATAAGTAACATATTATGTTAGAAAAAACAATGGGGCATTGGGAAGAGAGGGTAGTAGGGGTAATGAGGCTACACTTTTAAATAGGAGGTCAAGGTAGGCCATCATTGAGAAGGTGACATTTAAGCAAAGACCTGAAGGAGATGAGGGAGTTTAGTCAAGAGAATATCAGGCAGAAGAACCCTCCAGGGGAAAGGAACAGCCAGTGCAAAAAGGCCTCAAGGTTAGTGTGTGTCTAGCAGATTTGAGGAACTGCAAAGAGACCAGTGTGGCTAGAGAGTAGTTGAACAAGGGGGAAAGTATTAGATATGAGGGTAGGTAGGCAGTAGGAATCCAGATTCAATAGTGCCTTGAAGGTCATTTTAGGGAATTTGGGTTTTATTCTGGCGTGAGATGGGTGACACTGTACAATTTTCAGCAAGAGAGTGACATGATCTAACTTGTGATTATATGAGGGTAGGTAGGCAGTAGGAATCCAGATTCAATAGTGCCTTGAAGGTCATTTTAGGGACTTTGGGTTTTATTCTGGCGTGAGATGGGTGACACTGTACAATTTTCAGCAAAAGAGTGACATGATCTAACTTGTGATTAAAAAGAATTGGTTGGACTGTGTTGATAATTGATTGCTGGAGAGCAGGGGTAGAAGCAGAAAGACTATTTAAAAGGCTATTGTAATAATCCAGGCAAGAGATAACAGTGGTTCAGACTAGAGTGAAAGCTGTGAAGATGGTGAGAAGTGGTTAGATTCAGGGTGCATTTTGAAAGCAGAGCCCACAGAATTTCCTGACTGTTTGGATGTGGGTCTATGAGGAAGAGAGGGGCCAAAAATGACTCCAAGGTTATATGCATGAGCAATTGGAAGAGATTGTAGTAGCTCTCAACTGAGATGAGGAAGGTGCAAATGGAGTTGGTTTGGGGGATGGAGACAGATAAGATCAGTTTTGGACATGTTAAATTTGAGATGTCACACAGGCATTTGAAGTGCTTCTGTAAACCTGGAAGTCATAGGGCATGTAGATGATGCTAAACACATGCCTATGAAACTGGACGTAATTGCATGGTAATTAGGCATCAACAGGCAGGAAGGTAGCTGAAAACTAACTTCACCTGTCTCACAATTTTGCCTGGTCCTAGTATTGCTGATAACCTAGTTCTTTGGAGCCAATTAAGGATCAAAATCAATTCTTAGATTTTTTTTGGGCTACTTAATACACAGTACTACATGTGAAGTAGTAGTCACTCAGTAAATGTTTCTTTTCCTTTAAAATATGTCATCATCTAAAGGGCAAGGCAGCTTAAACGTAGAATGTCTGTATTTTAGCCTGTTCACTCTTCAGTATGATGGTATGGTAAAATTATGACTGAGTTACATTCACCTGCTTTACTAGAAAATGAGAAGTAGGGCCGGCCCCATGGCTTACTCAGGAGAGTGCTGCGCTGGGAGCATCGAGGCCGTGGGTTTGGATCCTATGTAGGGATGGCCGTTGCGCTCACTGGCTGAGCGCGGCGCAACCACACCGTGCCGAGGGTTGTGATCCCCTTGCTGGTCAAAAAAAAAGGAAATGAGAAGTAATTGTATTACTGAAACATAAACCAAAATACAGGGAAATATTAGGCTGAATATGATAATTGAAGAGAAAAAAAATTCAAGTGATGAGAACAGAAAACCAGCCTATATTCCCTTTGGTACTGAAAAACAACATCTACACCAGTGGTTCCTATACTTTGGGGCATACTGGAATTACCTGGCCATCTCTTAAAAATATTGCTATCTGACTTCTACTCTCAGATCTTCTGATTTATTTGCTATGATATGAGACTTGGGCATCAAGGTTTTTAAAATCTCCTTAGGTGGGTATACTGTGCAGCAAAATTTGAGAACTACTGTGATCTACACTTTTTTTGTTGTTGTTCTAATGGAACTGCCCCTAATAGTAACAGTATTCGAAGTTCCTTCCAAAATTCTTTTTATTCTTTGCTGGTGCCAAAAACGGAAGCAGCATTGTTAAGGAAAGATCCTCAAGACAGAAGAGAGTAAATGAGCGCTCTCTAAATGATGAAAATAAGAAGTCACTATCATAATTTGTGGTAGATTTGTGGCAGCTGTTTTTACCCGGCCCAGCCATTCATTTATAGCACAAGTGAACCCCAAATTGATGGTAACTGTGATGTCATGGTAGCTGCATTAGAATTAGAAGACTTGGATTCAAATCCCAATTCTTCCACTTACTAGCAGACTTCTGATGGGCAATTCACTTAATATCACTGAAATTCCATTTTTTTCCCCTTCCTAACTTGACAGTAACCAAATCTGTTTCTCATGGTTGTTGTAAAGATATATATATATTTTGGCAGCTGGCCAGTATGGGGATCCAAACCCTTGACCCCATGGTATTACAACACCACACTCCAAACAACTGAGCTAACGGCCCAGCCCTGGTTGTTGTAAAAATTTTTTTTAAAGCTAATATATGTGAAGGTAAACTATAAAGAATGACATAAAGATGTGAATTATTATTTGAAAGGATTTTTTAACCTTAGAAGTGACATAGCATTGTACAATATAATCATTTCCTGGAAGTGAATAGATAATATTATTTTTTCTGTATTTTTTTTTACTGCCTTAAGAATGAGGTCCTGCATAGAGTAGATAATAAATACTATTTAACTTAACATGTAGTAAAGTGTTATTTTGTATTTATTTTCTATACAGTGTATTAATCTGGGTAAAAACACTGATTTTGGACTCAGACCTGGGTTTCAACACAGATGTTGCCATTTGTTAGCATATCTGTATCAATAGACATGTTCTAAGACTTAGGTTTCTTATCTTGTTACACTGGGAATAATAATATCTGTCTTTCAGGGCTGTTTCAACGTTCACATGTAAAGCTCCAAGCATAGTGGCTGGCACAGAGCATGCAGGAAATGTTAATTCTTTGAGTACAGTAATCTTGGGAAAGTAATTTTTAAAATCTGAGTAATAATTTTTCAGTAGCTAAAAAATTTTAACTATCATTTAAAAAATTTTTTTTGCTGATTTCTTTATCATTTAAAATTTTAAGTGCCCCTCCATGGATACTTTTAAAAGCAGTGTTTATTTTTGTATGCTTTTTCAGATAATTTTTAAAAAGCCATTTTAAGTTTACACCATGAATAGCACAAAGGAGAATGACAATTACAAAGATGACCTTCTGCTTAGGATGGGACTTAATGATAATAAAGCAGGAATGGAAGGATTAGATAAAGAAAAAATTAACAAAATTATAATGGAAGCCACAAAGGTATGTTTCTTTTTTCTTTCAATATCTATAATTAATTTAGTAACTTTTAAACTTTCTGTTTAAAAGAAAATCATTAAGGTTTGAATATTCTTTTTATTAAAATTTTTAATATTTTAATTTATAATATTATTAAGCTACTAAAGGATATGGAATAATCTCCCTTCTATTTTGTTGCTCTTGCTACCCAGCTTTCTACTTTACATGCATATAATATGCAAGTAAAAGTAAAATAACATACATGTTCTTTTCCCCCCTTTTCAAAAAACCCCCCTAGGAGAATACTGTAATTGTTTTGCTCTTCGGGTTTTTTTTTTTTTTTTTTCCAGTTAATATAACTTGGAGGTCCTTTTGTATAACATTCAAGTTCTTCATTCTTTTTTATGTCTGCATGTTTAGATATAATTTATCAAACAAATCAGAATCTTTATTGATGGACATGTAAGTTATTTATAGCCTTTTATTTTCATAAACAATACTACAGTAAATAACCTTGTACTTCATAATGTTATATTTGTTCAAGGAAAACTATAGGAGAGAGTCCTAGAAGTGGAATGACTACACCAAATACATATAGCATGAAAGAATACATGCATGTGTAATTTTTATGAATTGCCAAATTACCCTCCATAGTGGTTGTATCAATTTACACTTCCACCACGAATATATGAGAGTATGCATTATCATACTGAAACTGCGCTAATACAATGTATTACTAAATTTTTGGATTTGCCAATCTGAGTAACACAGTATGGCATTACTTTGCATTCCTCTTTTTTTTTTTGTCTTTTTCCATGTCCGGCAACGGATTGCAACCCTCAGTGTCGCCCCTGTACCAGACCGGGACCGGCAATGGGATCCCAACCCTCGGTGTTGCCCCCGCACCTCGCTCAGCCAGTGAGCGGGAACCGGTCTGTATGTGGGATCCGAACCCTCGGCGGGAGCGCAACCGCGCCTCCCAAGCGGCGCACTAGCGCAGTGCGCCACCGGGCCGGCCCCAGCATTCCTCTTATGCAGCCAGTGAGCGGGAACCGGTCTGTATGTGGGATCCGAACCCTCGGCGGGAGCACAACCGCGCCTCCCAAGCGGCGCACTAGCGCAGTGCGCCACCGGGCCGGCCCCAGCATTCCTCTTATGAAAACTGAGATTGTACATTTTTTATATCTTAAAAACAATTTATATTTCCTTTTTTATGAACTTTATGTTCCTACCCTATGCACATTTGTCCATTGGATAATTGTTTATCTTTGACTTTGCTTATGGTAGTTTTCTCCCGTGCAGAAATTTTTTGTTTGCTTCTTTTTATGTATTTGAATTACTCAGCTACATATGGCCTTCTCCAAGGGAAAAGTTTTTTCTACCACTTTTTTGCTTTCATTTATGAAATATACATTATTCATATTATGAAATATACATGCAGAAAGGTGTAAAATCTGAGATATTCTTAGGAAATGTACGCTGATGTCTATAGCAACTTACTTTCAAATTGTTTAGCTAAAAGGGGTGGGAGTGTGTGTATGTGTACACATGCATGTGTGTGCAAGCACTTATGTAGAACTTGGGGGAGAAATCATATGTAGCAGGATATTAACAAGTGGTGATACTATGTTAGGGCATTTGGGGTTGATTGTACTATTCTTTCATTTTTTGAAGATTTGTAAATTCCAAAATAAAATTATTTTTCCCTCAACTTTTTAAGAATGTAAAACAAAGATACAATTTTAAAAGCAAGAAAAAAGTAAAAGAGAATTAAGAGATATAATAAGCAGATGTAAAAGATAGACCCTGATTGGATACTGGTTTGTACAAATCAGCAGTAAAAGACATTTGAAATGTTTAGTGTAATTTGAATATGGAGAGAGTACTATGTAATGTTAAGGAATTATTGTTAGTTTCGTTAGCTAACAAAATTATGTTATAATGTTATTATGATGAAGTTAGAAAATAGCCTTATTTTTAAAGATGCATACTGAAATACTGTATGTAATAAACACTAAATGTCATGATATTGGTAATTTACTTTAAAATGTTGCACTTAAAAATTCAATGAAGCAAATATGGTAAAATGTTAACAGTTGTTAAATCCCAGTGATAGTTTTATATGTGTATTTATTGTATTAATCTCTCTATTTTTTCTGTTAGAGACTTTTTTGAAATTTTCATTATAAAAATGTTTTTTTAAAAAAGAAAAAGAATAAAACCTATCAGCCTAGTTTTCAGGTTAAGAAATACAATATGTACGTTACCCTAGATTTCCCTATCCTAGATCCTCCCTCTCTCTTATTTGTGTCTTACTACCATTTATTAAATAGTCCATCCTTTTCCTACTGACCTACAGCTCTTTCTCTTCTGTTCCACTGGATTATTTGCCTGTTCTTGTACCTTCAACATGTTCTTCATTACAATACTTATAAAAAGTCTTGATATCTGCTTGAACAATTTTTTTTGTACTTTGTTCTTTTTCAAGAGTATCTTGAATATTCTTGAACCTTTGTTCTTCCATATAAATTTTATGATATATATGTACTCTTGAAAAGAATATATACATACATATATCATATAATTGATATATATCATATGATTGGTATATCTAAAACACATATTATATATTAATATATATTTCTCTTGTGTAGAGGGTTACCATAAATGGCATCTTTTTTAAATTGAGATTTTTCTAATTGCCATTTCATTGCAATATAATTTACTTTTTTAAAACTATTATCAGAAAATTTTAAACATACATAAAAGTAGAGCAAATAGTAAAGTGAATCCCAGCATCAACAATTATCAAGATTTTTCCAAATGTTGTTTCATCTGTCTCACCCCTCCCCTACTGAGTTTTGGAGGTGGATGGGAGGTGGTAGAGTATTTTAAAATAAATTCAAATAAGTTGGACAAATTTCTAGAAATTCATAGTTTTGCAAAACTGACTCAAGAAGGTATAGAAAATCTAAATAGACCTATAACAAGGAAAGAAATTAAATTAGTGATTAAAAATCTTCCCACCAAAAATTTTTTTAAAAAAATACCAGGCCAAGATGGATTCTCTGGTGAATTTTATCAGATATTTAAAGAAGAAATAATATAAATACTCCACAAGCTCTTCCAGGAAATAGAGAAGGATGGAGCACTTCCCAGCTCATTCTGTGAGGCCAGTATCAACTTGATACCCAAAGCCAAACACAAGATATTATACATTATTGTAAATACAAAAGTCCTCAACAAACTATTAGCAAATTGAATCCAACAATATGTAAAAAAAAAAAAAAAAAGATTATGCACAATGATCAAGTTGGATTTATCTTAGGAAAGCAAGGTTGGTTTAACATTGCAAAAATTAATGTAAAACACCATATTAATAGAACAAAAAGGGGCAAAACTGCATGATTATCTCTGTAGACACAGAAAAAGCATATCTGACAAAATCCCACCACCATCTGTGCTAAAAACACTTAAACCTGAAACAGAAGGGAACTTCCTCAATCTAGTAAAGGGCATCTATAAAAATCCTATTGTGAGCATCACACTTTATAGTGGAAGTTTGAACACTTTCCCCCTAAAATCAGGAACAAGGCAAGAATCTCCATTCTCACCTTTTCTATTCTGCACAGTCCTGACAGTTCTAGCCAGTGCAGTCAGGTAATAAAAAGAAGTAAAAGACATCCAGATTAGAAAGGAAGAGCTAAAACTGTCTCTATTCACAGATGACATGATCTCATATATAGAAAATTCTAATGAATCTCAAAAGAAGTACAAGACTTGTACCCTGAAAATTACAAAAATTTGCTGAGGGAAATTAAAGATTAAATAAATGGGGAGACATTCTGTGTTCAAGAATGAAAAGATTCAATGTTGTTAAGATGGCAGTTTTCCCCAAATTGACCTATAGATTCAATGTAATCCCCCGTCAATATTCCAGTGGCTTTTTATTTTTATTTTTTTGCAGAAATTGACATGCAGATCCTAAAATTTACTTGGAAATGAGAAACACCTAAAATAGCCAAAACAATTTTGAAAAGAAACAAACTTTGAAGTCTTTGACTTTGATTTCAAAACTTAGTATAAAGCTACAGTTATCGGGCTGGCCCGGTGGCACACTGCTGTAGTGTGCCGCTTGGGAAGCGCGGTGGCGCTCCCACTGAGGGTTCGGATCCCACATACAGACCGGCCGCTCACTGGCTGAGCGAGGGGCGGGAGCAACACCGAGGGTTGCGATCCCGTGGCCGGTCCCGGTCCGGTACGGGCGCGACACTGAGGGTTGCGATCCGTTGCCGGTCAGGAAAAAAGACAAAAAGGAAAAAAAAAAAAAAAAAAAGCTACAGTTATCAAGGCAG